CCGCGGTTGTCACCTCTTGCGAGGATTTCGGCCTCGTCAAACTTGAAAATATCGCCGGGTCCCGTCGAGTGAGCTGCAACCTGGAAGTTGGCGTCTATCTTCCTCACCGCCACTGCATGTTCGGCCATTCGCGTCCAGACAAAAAGCAACCATCAGGCGCCGGTTCATGAGACCGAAAGAACCACTGCCACAACAGGAAACGGCTGGAGTCGTTTACCGATCTTGTGCAGTTGTGGACAAAGTAACTACGTCGGAGAAACCGGGAAATTACTCCGGACGCGAATGGCCGCGCATACAGCGACAGCGAGCATAATTATCCTGCAATTATCAAGCCCGCATCCGACGCTGACAAGCAAACTGTGGCAATTAATGAGCCACCACCGCACCAATCAAGACCCCAAGTGGTAGCTACGGGAACTGAAAATTAAAGTACGCATGTGGATGACCGCTACGACCTATAAATACCGTGCAACCTGTGCATTTATCACACTTATCTGCGCATGTTTCCGACTTTCCTACACTTACATGTGATTAAGGATTTCCGAGGAAATCCAAACGTAAGGAAAATAAAGCACTTGTTCCAGTGATCGCGTGTCTGGCTTTCTTGAGTTGCCCATCACGCTGGGCCTGGATGAAAGAGGAGGAGATAGTTTGGTAAATGCAGCACAAGTATCCATTTAGTAAAAATTTATTTACGTATGAGTCCCTGCGCCACCTTGCTGATGGGCATACTGTGGGCCTCGTCAGTTAAGACGGTAAAATCGTCAGTGTATAGGACTTATAAGTGCAACGCAGACGTTTTACTCGTCTATTTTATGGGATTTTTAACTACTCAGTTATGCTCACTTGTGATTGCTTGCCTAACTGCGAAGTTTGGTAGGCTACAAGGGAAATACAAACATATTTCGTTCCAATTCTGCAAGAGTCAACTGCGACAATCGCGCAGGTTGCATTTGCAGCGGATGTCTTCTCAGAGAATGGACTAACATTTCAGATGAATAAAAAATAAGACGGAGAAAACTTGCTGGAAGTAGAGTTCGGGCCAAGGAGTCAGAGGATTGTCGATGGATAGAGTGGATGCCCACACAGCCTGCGATTCCTCGTCCGCCAGGCTTTCAGAACATAAGACACACCAAGCGATAGGGATGACGAATCCCGCAATGAATGAGGTCAAAGTTGCCACTAGGATCCCACTGGACGAAACTACAAATAAAATAGTATACTCTTTGGCTGAATCATTCGGTGCATAGACTCGGTCCATAGGTTCAACTCCATAATACTTTTCAATAATCAGAACTGGGCTAGCTGACATTAGTGCACCTGAAATATTGATGGCAGAAATAAATTTGGAAAACCTTCATGCACTTATTGCTGTGTCATTAACCATGTTTCTTACAAAGGTGTCGGATAAACTAAGTACGTGATTCCTGATGCTGACAGCAGAGTGTAAGTCATACCTTCGACTGCATTTAATGCCACTCTGAGAGTGACCACTTCGGTATGAAGAAACATGCCATTCAACAGCTTTTAATTGAAGCACTTTAAGAATTGGTGATCAGCAGAAGGCCTTTTACGATTACCTTTGCCTATCAAATTGTTTGGGTAACTTAGATGTCGGTCGTAAATGTCCCAATTATTCTGTAAAATTGAATTTGTACATATATTGTATCTACTGGGTAAATTTTTCAAAATTACCAAGAGTTAAGTTGTTAACATGTGAGCGAGCAAAATTTTACATATTATTTGAAGCATCTTTTCCCAGGTACAAATTTGAAGATTGCGTATGTAGCAAA